TCGAATGGTAAAAATTACATCGAAATCCAATCACTAGATCTCTAATTATTTGCGATTATGTATTTACACGAATTACTTCACAAATCATGTGATTTGAATTGCGGAATTGCGGATTACTATGCGTAATTCAATTCAAAAATCCACAATATTGCAGATTTAAAAAAACAATTGCAGTACCATCCTTACATATAAACAAAGGAGATAACAAAAATATTATTTTTCACTTCTCTTTTAGTTCTCAATGCGTGAAAACGAGGTTTCAAAAGCCAACTGGAAACGAATTATCAGTGCATATCTTACTGGTACTAAACAAACAATCATTTCTATTCAACTTAATATACCAACTAGTACTGTAAGCGATATTATAAAAAAGTATAGAGAAACAGGCTCTACTAAACCTAAGGAACGTCCTGAAAGACCAAAAAACTCAAAGAATGTGATACCTAAGCTTTAAAATGTATCATACGAACTGACTGGTTATCTCCTCTAGGTGATATAACAGACAAGTTTAATATCAGCCTTAATACAACTTTACACTCTAATATAGTTAGAAGTTACCTTCATGATGAAGGTCTCAGAAGTTACACTGTAAAAAAAAGCCTCATTTAAACAAAAAACATCGAACTAATCGCTTGAAATGATGCAAAGAAAAAAAAATTGGGTATAGGAATGGAAACAAGTGGTATGGTCAGACGAATCAAGGTTCGCTCTTTTTCAATCAGATGGTTGAGCAAGAGTATGAAGAAGTTCTGAAGAAGCATATAATGAAGACTGTATTCAATCTACAGTTAAGTTTGGAGGGGGATCAGTAATGTTTTAAGGGTGTTTTGGTTAGACCTTTAGTTGTGGTGAAATGGAATATGAATTCTAACAAATACGTTAATATTCTGGCAAATCGGTTCATTCCATAGGTTGACAATTACCCCAACTCTATTTTTCAGCAAGATGGAGCATCATGTCATACTTCAACTTACAGTATTTGGTGGATGAGAATACATAACATTCCAATTTTAGATTGGGTCGCGCAAAGTTCTGATCTTAACCTGATTGAGAATCTGTGGAACCATTTGGATAGTCAAGTTCGAAAAGGAAGCCTGTACCCAGGTCTAAACAGGAGTTAATTGAGGTAGTACAAGATAAGTGGCGAAAAATTACTATTGAAACATGTCATCGCCTAATTTTAAGTATGCCTAATCGGGTTAAAGCGGTAATTAAGGTCAAAGGTGATCATACTAAATATTAGGGTTCCTCAAAATCGAATCGAATCAAATATTTAAGCAATTTGAATTTGATTTGATTTTTTCAAATCGAA